GACACACAACGCCATCTAGTTTCAAACAAAACATTTACAATATTTTAGTACTTAACCTCGAAACATTCAAAATACAATATCTTTTTTCCTAGACTTCTTTCGCTAGTAATATTTTTATGAGAATGTTCAATAATAAATTCTCAAGGGTTATAGGCATTTTTGATATTTAAACGCTGTCATTTCACTTCAAATAAAATTATGTATGGGGACCTGCCATTGTCCTTTTGGTACTTACAAGTTTTTGCTAAAATCGAAATTTGCCCATATCTTTTATCGTGTTAATTCAGGACCTTGATTTTTATACACCTAATAGGGACCATGGACTTCAGTATCTGGTATAAATTTCAACTTGCTAGGTCTACCCGTTCCTGGGAAAATCGGTGGTGACACACGGACAGACAGACAGACAGAGAGCAACACTACGTAAAGGACTACGTGACTTTGAAACGATGTCGAAAAAAATCTATCTATTGTATATGTTACTAATTTTGCTTTGTTTAAAGGATTAGGATTTCAATTTAGTCATTAAGAATTTTAAATCTTGTGATAAAATAGAAATAGCTTTCCAATAGCATGGACTTACGGAAAAGCTTATTACAACTGTGTGAGTTACGCCAATACAAAGTTGTTTCGTCTTGCAAAGCATGAAACGTCAAACGGTACCTCTTAGGTAAGATGGACTAGTTCAGTGATTTAAACGCGAATTTGCAATTATTAACAGTAGGATATCATTCATTCTGTTTTTTGTGTTCATTTTTTGAAATGGTTGATGACGATGTTAATAAAAAAAAATTTAAACTAAAATAATACCAATTTAATTACAGCTGTTAATAATTAAATAATTAAATGTTTTTTCTGTTTATTGTAATTTAAAACTTTCTTTCTTTCGTCACACGGTGAATCACGGTGATCTTTAATGTGACAGACAGCTGTGATAGAGACACGGTTGAAGATAAAAAAAAATGACGTAATGAATGGCCCTTTACATTTTTGTAATGATATATTAAACTTGCATATAATTTATACTCTCGATTCTCGGCACTTGTTGGAACTTCTTGAAATACATTATGAGATGAAACTCAGTTATACATATATTCCACTATTTAATTTAATTTAACCTGACCGGTTTCGCCGTTATGGTATTATCAAAGCTTACCATTTCCAAAACTTAAATCCATCACCTATCTGTAAGGAATTTAGATGAAAATTGGGCAATTTTAGTACCTAAAATTCTATTAATACCTACTACTACGCAAAGTGGTGGGGCTATCGGTTTAAGGTCAATGGAAAATATACGGCATCCATCCTAGCATTCGCAGACGACTTTGCGATCCTCACACGTAACCCGGAGCGGTGCCAGGAATTACTGCGTAAGATGGATGACTTCTGTACCTGGACAGTTTGTACTGGCCTTTGTCTGGGCCGGCGACGTTTGAGATACACCTCATATGACCCCGGGATCACTATTTAGTGGGGAAAGTGTTTCAATAATATCAGAAACCGTGCCCTTCAAATTCCTTGGAAGAAAGATAGACTACAAAGGTCGTACTCCATTTATGAACGCATTAGTCGATGACTTCGTAAAAGACATTGAGAAGTTAGACCAACAGCCAATAAGTCACGTTCAAAAAAGCTTGGATTTCGACAACTACTTAACATCACGTCTCAACTGGCCGTTTCTGGTATACGATATAAACCAGAACCACCTAAGAACACTGGAGGCGAAAGACACTAAGACATTGAAATCGTGGCTCGGGCTAGCATCATCTGCAGACCCGTCAACGTTGTACAGGGGCTCGAGTAACTTTGGATTAAAATTAAAAAGACTTTTGGAACTTACCAAAATGCATGTCTTGTCAAAATCATAAGACAATCTGCTCGTCGCCTCTAACATAAAAAAAAAAACGAAATCGTTAGATTCCTTCCAAAAGACCAAAATGCAGCAGAGTTCGAGTCGCGGCTCCAATCCCACAAGAAATTCATGGTGGTTACGCAGTAGAGTTGGATTGGGAAATGCTAGAAGACAGACCGACAAAAGGATAACAAAATCTTTCGTACAACAAGATGAAAACGAGACCTACAAGGTGCACGCAGTGAACCTAGAAATTCAGAATGAATGGTGAGCTCTAGGAGAATTTTGTATCCCACTTTTATTCGATTGGTCACCTTCCCTATTAAAATTTTACCTTACCGACTTTCAATTAACTCTCCCCTATCAAAGCAACCTAGTAAAGTGGGGAAAAGCTACAGAAAAGGCTTGTAAGATGTGCAGTGCGGAAATAGGTACAGCCAGGCACTTACTGACACATCGTAAGGCGCTATTAGACCGGGGTCATTATTCACGTTGCTATGATAGGGTATTACAAATCATACGCGAAGCTACAAGTTTATCACTTGCGAGATCGAAAAAAGGAATAACAATAAACACAAGAACTAACATCTTGTTTGTAAAGGAAGGCTCAACTAAAAGACTTCACAAAAGCCGCACTCAATTATAAATACCGCCGGTGACTGGACATTATTAGTGGTTAGAGTATGAAATATGGTTAGGTAAAATGGTGGAGTGAAATATGGTGGAGGACAGACAGACAGTGGAGGTGAGCGCTGACGCGTCGCAAGGAGTACTCCCTAAACCTATTCCTGTTCAAGTTAATTTCCTGTTGAAGTCGCATGTGTTGCCCCCATCTTTCATGCGATGGCCCCGGCACCAGCACGGATAATCTATGGCACGCTAAGAAATAGGTCTCTGTCCAATGAAACTTAAATTCAAGCATGTATGAACTCACATCTGCAGTATGCATTAGAAATACATTGGTCAAATAGGAAGGTCTTTTCAGACCAGAGTGGTAGGACATGCTAGGCTAGGCTGGAGGCTAAAATAGACCGAGTCTAATTTTGCGGAACATTTTCTACTGAAAACATTATTTTGACCCTTTTTTTTCTGTGCGACACTTCCCTCGGATACCACCTACCAGTGGGTGATGATGTCGGACTCGAACCGACCAAAAACCACAAGCCGTCTTCAAGTATCAGCCAACCAGATGTATCCTAGAAAAGTCGTGGTACCCCGACGTACCTCGGGCCATGTACGACTTATAAATGACCTCCTCCTGTGTTGGAACCTGGATGTTCCCTTCCTGCCCCCGAAGGACGTGCGCACATTGTAGCACACCCACCCCGGCCTGTTTCTGTTAGAGTGACAGATGGCCTCACCTGTAACCCTCAGGCCTGCGCTTATGGAGGACGGAGGTCGTTCTGCGACCCCAGGCGTCTGAGTCGGCCGGAAGAGTTCTGAACCTCTCCCGGTCCCGCTGTTCATTCTGCCAGCGTGTGAAGCGCCTTGTCCACGGTTTGGCCATCGCAGTGACATATGTATGTGACAAGGGTAAGAAATAAACCGTTCTGGAGGCTTTAGAAATTAATAGGTTTTTAATAGAGGACTGCGACAGAGACTGAGAACGGCCCTCCTGAGGGTTGTTCGGATCCTTTCCGCGTGTTTCTCTGTTTAGCAGAGGGCAGGGAGAGCAATTTGGGGAGCAGACGGGTTCTCTCCCGCTGGCTTTGTCTAGAAGTTCGAGGTCTACGAGGAAGGCAACAAAAGTAACGGCAAAGTAGACCGGGCCGGCCGTGGTCTGGTGCAGACCACGTCCGGCCCGGGCTACTTTGATCGAGGAGTAAAAGTCCTTACGACTTTTTCTTGTATGTTGATGCTTTGACCAGAATAAAGATTGTTTGAGGCGAAGGGTTGATGCACCAAATTGTTATAGAAGTAACGTAGTAGAGAGCGCACTGAGTGAAATTGATAATGTAGTATTTTATTACTGCAAAGGCCAGCTTGGAACGTGGTTGCTAAAATGTTTTCCAACATTACGAAATTTAAATAAGTACTTATTAAAAAGTCTTAAATGAGTTATATTATCATATTGCCTGGCCATTATAAAAACGTGATAGTAAACATATACATACAGACTAACTAGCAGTTTATACTTTGAACAAAATGTGGTACTTTCCTCTTCAACCTTTTGGAAACAAAAAGCGCAGGCTCTCTACATTCGTATTTATTAATTGACCAACTGCTGCCCGCGACTTGGTCTCTTAAAGTATACGAGATATGCCTCAATAGTTTCTTTAACCTAAATTTGATTTTTAAGTTCAACTCATGGACTTCTTATACTTGGAAATACAGTTGTTCAAGTTTCGTTGGGCTTAATAAAATTACATTTTGTACTGATTGACAACACGATCCGTACTGAAATAGAATCTGGTTCAAGGTATATGCATTTACATATAAAGTAATTTAGTTATGGTACTTCCTTTAGTGATTAACATTTATCCTGTTAATGTCGGGCAAACATTAGCAATCTTGTGATATTATTAGGTATTATTAAAAGAAAAGATAAAATAACACATTGCTTAAACAGTAATCGAGCTTCAAAAGTCTACAGGTTTTAGAATATTTCGAGAAAAAAAAAAAAAACAAAATAATTATAAATTACTTAATAATTATTTTTTGGACGAAAGGTACTCTATGTCCTCTTAAGCAACGTTATCAAATGACATGATCATTGCATGAACTGAAAGACAGCGCATAAAAAAGGAACAAATTTCAGACATCACATGATAGTACTGATTGTATTTTATTCATCTGTGCATTAAAATATCATCAGGTATTTGTGAATACATACAATTCAAGTCAAATCATATAACCAGCCCCGCGTCGCTCCCGGTGCAAAGGTGGCCAAAATACTGCTAGTATTATGGGCACCTTTGCGTTGCTGTGTATTGTATTTCAAAAAATTTAATGGGTCTCAGCCCGATAGTTTAGGTATGCCTGTCAGTGTAATTGACTGGGGTTCAACATTACTATAGAATGAAATTGGAGCATGCAAACTTTCATTAGTAAGGGAGAATCTGGCCGGCTTTGATTGAAAGTGAGTTGAGGAAGGGAGCGCGCCGACCTTCTGGCGGGAATCAGCTGATCAAGTTTGCGCAGTGCGCAAATGTGCGGCGTGGTGTGCGGGGGTGGCGGCGCGAAGCGTACAGCCGGGGTGTGCGGCGGCGCCCGGCCAGTCGCGCGGTCTCGCGCCCGCCCAGCCTTCGCTGTGCCCCGCGATCCGAACGGACGCGGCCGCGTGGCCACACATCGACACTGGAAACTAACAGAAAACCGCCACGATAATCGGCCACGACACTACCACGTTCCAAATAATTGCTGTAACTGTGATATTTGTACAAAAATCGTCAGAATTTGTCGACTCAGGCCATGCGGGTACACAAAATAGCGGAGATTAGAGCTGTACTCCAGCCTCCCGTTGCACGCGACGAGCGTTACGCTAAAACGCTATTATGAGAGATATTCAAAACGAGCCTAATACATGTACAAAAATGTTCGATATGTCAATTCAAGAAGCGAATGGGAAAGGACCTAAAAAGAGGAAAAAGTCCTTAGAGCGTATCTGTGATAATGAGGAGCGTGAGGCTTTAAAGGAGGCCGAAGTGGTGAGTGGTGATGGAGCGGAGAAAAAAGAAACCGCCAACGGTGGTGATGTGTCGGTTCCCGGTGGCGTGGAGCTGCTGCACTGGCGCGATATGCCACAGCACCTCCAGTTCAATCCATACGTGCTCACTGGCTACCGTCCGCTTCAGAGCTGGGCCGGTTGCGTTGGCAGCCTCTTCTACTTCCACAACGAGACTATCAACATACTCACACATGGTAACGTATCTCATTGATTTATCTACGCGTTGTTACGTGGCATAGTAACCTCTTTTTTCGTATTGCTTTTCGCTTATGCCATGTTACATAAAGTCTCAGTGATGCAATTTACATCTGTATTATATTTCGATGATCATGCATTGCAGTTGTACAGTCATAATTTATCTAAGGGAATCTTTAGACTGCTTTATGTAAATTCGTCAAACTTAGAAGATGTACGTGTAATATTTGTCGTTAATACCTAATAGTAGAGAAGATCTTTAAAAAAAAACTAGGAACAAATCGTAAATGTATGCCTTTGTACTAGGTTTCGAAAACAATAAATAAAAAACATTCTTTGCTTTATGTACGTAATATAGTATGTGTTCGTAGCACTTGGTAGCAGTCTACAAAGAATTTAAATGTACCATTAAGAAATACCAAAATGCTACGCAAGGAATGTCCGTTCATGTAAGTATTTTAAGAGTCACTGCATAAGGATAAAATATTGAAAATTCCTCCGATTCTAAATTATTGCTGAAAGGAAGTTACAGAAATCAAGTAACGACTAAATTAAACGGAACCATAGACTAATAATTTAATAAAATTCAATTAAAATGAATTCAATTAAAATACCTTAAACAGAGTTTAAATTAAAGTAGATACTTATAACTACGTAACCAACTTTTAATATTAAATAAGTAGTATTACCTACTTGCTTTGTTTGACAAAAAAACATGAATTTAATCTTTCCATCAACAAAGTAACCAAAATGTTAAATTATTTATATATTAAATCTAACGATACTTTGTTTTTCTAAATTGGTATTTGCCAGCCTTTTTTTAATTACAGGCCTCAAAAAAATTCAACAGAGAAGATAATAGAAGTTTGTACACAGTGCACGGGGCTGATCGCTGCTTTTAGTATACCCTCCAACAGTTGCACTGCAATACCGAAAAATATCTTAACAAATTATTAATGTTTCTGGTCAATTACTAAATCACTTACACATGTAAGATAAAGAAAGGACCCAGTAATGCTAATACGTCCTTCGTTCTTTAGAAATCAGAAGTTGCGTAGTACAGTATGCTGAGACTGCTGACAAACTACTAAATGATTAGAAAAACAACAAACGGTATTTTTAAATTAATTTTACTTCTCCAAGTTTTCTTCAAATTCAGACTACGGAATCGGATTCAAATTTCGGGTGTTATTGAATCTCAATTTTTAACATTCTCTATATAAAATTAGAATATTCTTTATTGTGTATCACTAACAACATATAATTTAAATGAATATTATTACAAACAAAAATAGTACAATGGGTAGTGTTATCACTATAAGAAATCACTTCACTAGTTATGCCAATCTTATTGTTTAACGACGCTGCTTCTTACATGTGAAAATCCAAATCACAACCCAAAATATGAAATAGCTCATTAACATAAACTAATTAATTATTATTTTAAAAGCTTTAGGTTCAACTAAATAGAATAACAGGAAAATATAACAATAGAACTTGTTCATAATTAAGCAAAAGATTAAACATGGACATATAGGAGTTGTATTATGACGAGGAAGGTGCAGAATCTTATGCGCTAAAACTATAAGTAGTTTTAGGTAAGTAGTTTTTACATATTGACGACGTTTTTACATATTACATATGGAGAACAACAGTGTTATGCTAAGTGATCCTGAATGCTAAGCTTGTGGGATCAAATCCTACCCAATATAAATACTTGTGTGATGAGCACGATCATTTATTCTATGCCTATTTTCATCTACTCATCTAAAAGGAAAAAACGAAATTGAAGTGTCTATTTATCATCTTATAATGATTTTCTTATCTATCAATTTTTTTGTACACCGTGTATTTATAGTATTGTACCACTACAGCGTCAGGTACCGTCGTCCCATTGTGTACATTAATAATAAATATTATTTAATCCACAAAAAAATCCCACATCATGCCAATCGAGGCAATATATATCACATATAAGTCGATTTTTTCCCCCGCGTAACACTTAAGAGCCCCCATTGAACTCAAGCTGCGGGTCAAGGATACATAGAAATGTGCCAAACAGTATCTACTTCATCAAAGTGAAGATCCAGAAGTAGGGAACTCTCTTACCATTGTTCATCAAAGTAATAATCTATAGACGTAATCCCCCCGCCACCGCTACAATCTAAGGTTGAGATAATACAATCTAATATAATACATAGAGGTAGTTTATTTGTACGATACTTACATTAATTGAGATGTTTAATTGTGTATACTATACGTTCAATATACCCTTTAACTGTTAGTAATAATGGATCCAAATAAAATAAAATAAAAAGGATAGTAAGGATGAAAAGTACTTTTAGTCCAGAAATATTTTTTACATTTTAACTTAAAATCTTTGAACGAAATGTCGAGTTTCTGTAGGGCAAATAACCAGTAATGAGAACATTAGGTTTTTTTTAAAATAAAAATGTTTATTTTTCTCTAATATTTTTTTTAGTTCAAAATACTACTAGTAAAATTTACTAAAAAATAGTTTTTCTGTTATTAATATTTATTTGTATATTGATATAATATTTTTCTTTTTACGTACCTATTTATATTACGTATTTTGTAATTTTATATGTAATTTTACTTGAACTGTAATCCTCAAGACCCTAACTTGCTTAAGTTATGTTTTTACAACCTAAACTTATTTATTATTAAAACATCTCGTTAGTAAGTGAAGTTCATGTGCCCAAAGTTTTATGACAAATTTAAATTATGTTACCCGTTGCCGTTTACCTCTGAACCGATTTTAATAAAACTTGGCATGGAGATATTTTGATAAAGAAGTACGGATATAGGCTACTTTTTACCGCGATAACCGACATACAAACGGACGGAGCTATGAGCTAAAGCTATTACAAAATAAAGGGAAAAGAAAAAAACAAAGCCATTTGTAGAATAATACCGTACAAATGTGTATAGTATCCATTAACCATACAATAATATTCGCTAGGGCATAGGTTTATGGCAATAACCGTGCCTTGAAAATATTCATTAATTATGCCTAAGACATAAAGGTCTGTTTTATCTATTATTTTGATAACTACGAATACTAAGTATTTCATGATAGGCAGGTACCTGTCATGAAATACTTCGACACTTCTTTTTTTACTGCTTTGATATTGGAGACTAAAGTATGTATGTTCAAATTTGTAGAAAGTGAACAACAAACAACCTGTCGGTTGGTCATCGGTTACGGAGCCCCGTAAAACTTGCAAAATACGGTGTATGTGATATGTGTTGTCGGGTGCTCAGACTGCCCGGCAATGGTATTTAGCTAAATGAGATTTGCCACCTTAACCTGCTATTGCTTAAACTTCCCTATCCATATGTATTAGCATTATACTGTTCCTTCTATACCAAAAAGTCGTCAGCGTTTCTAAAAAGGAATAAATTTTTCCCGTTTTTGTAAAATTCTTCATAGATGCTAGGCTCCTGTTGGTCGTAGCGTGATGTTATATAGTCTTCCTCGGTAAATGGGCTGTTCATTATTAAAAGTTTTTTTAATTCAGCACGGCAGTCGGTTACGCTACCAGTGCACTACCGAGGCAGTCATCAGTCAGTTACTTACTTAATATATTTCTGCCATCCTCTTAGGGGGTAAAGGGTGTCAACTTGCCAGTTAACACGCTGTTTAGCCTTTCTCTTTCTTCTTAGCTACAGTATTCACTATCATTAACCAAATATTATTCTATCATTTGTTCATGGTAGTCGGTTGCATTTTTCACTTTAGAAAAGACCAGTAGTTATATTTATTTGTCTGATTTGCAAAATATTCAGACGTAAACAAGTCATTGGTGGTATTAAAACACTGATTTTATATTAAAAAGGTTAATACGAGTATTATCTATCAACATTTTGTACCTACAGTCTATTGACGGGCAAACCTCATAAATAGTCAATTGATCGTTAACAAGTAGCCGCCTCTTTATTAGTCATTCAACATAATATGTAGTGATTACCAGAATTAAGGGCGCTCTTCTATTATTTGTTATATTATTTCGACAGGTTTTTTTTTTATACACTAGCTTTTGCCCGCGGCGCCGCCTGCGTGTATGTTGGTTTTTGCGATAAATAGTAGCCTATGTCCTTCCTCAAGAATCAAACTATATCCATGTCAAATTTCATGTAAATCGGTTTAGCAGTTATTGATTCCCCATACAAACTTCCACTTCCTTTTCACCCCCTTAAAAGATGATTTCTGAGGTAAAAACTTTCCTATGTAATTTCTTGGGACTCAAACTATCTCTATGCCAAATTTCATATAAATCGATTACGCGGATTAAGAGTGAAAAGGTTACAGATGGACAGACACACTCTTGCATTTATAACATTAGTATGGATGTAACAGAGCCGGTTAACAAACAGAAGACCCGCCTTTTGAGATCACAGTGTCAAGATTAGACTATACCACCAGCCACAGATAAATATTGTCAGCATTTAAGTCAATTGTCAATAAGTATTGCAAAACCTCTTCAAAGGTTTGTAACGCATAATAGTACAGAAGAAGTTTGACACACTAACCCCCGCGGCCGTCGTCCTGGCACATAATTTTGAAGATTTGATTAATAAGTATTTTATTACTGTTATTATTTTTGTACCTATTATTTGTTATATTACTTACTATCCCCGCAGTATTTACCTCATAGAGGGTTCCTCTATGACGTAAATACTCAATACGATGACAGATATGATATGATAATAAATTGAACTTGGCTTTTTTATGACTACCAAAGAAATTTGTATTAACAAAATAAGCTGTAAGTTTTCCATGTATGAAATATATAAATAAAAAAGGACATCATCATTATAACAAAAGATTTACACCTATTGTGATAGTAGCTATATGGGAGCTATTATAAGGGTCTCATGGCCTCCACTTTAACACTAGGCGACATAACAAAATTCTTGAGATGTCATATCGTAAAACAGATATTTGTTGATTCTCGGGCAACATGTATATGACTGA